AGTTGAATTTTGGCTCCTTCCTTTGAAAAACAGGCTTGTGTTTTATAGAATAGACCTTTGTGAGTTCATACGTGATGGTAATTTTTTTTTGTTCTTGGATTTTATATACTGAATCCATACGTGAAGGACGACCCTGGTTATCATTCACAACAGTAGGAATTTTCATGAAAAAAATATTTTTCTGTTATACTAATCTTATTTTTGGCTCCTATCTTTGAAAAATATGTTTGTATTATATAATATAACTTGCTAAATCCATACGTGAGGGATGAATTTCTCAATTTTTTGGAAAACCAAGTTTAAATTCCCAAAAGTGCGTATTTTCATTAAAAAAAATTGATTTTCTGTTCAATTTTGGCTCCATCCGTTGAAAAATAGGATTAGATTTTATAGAAGGGATATTGCTGAATCCATACGTAATGGTACATTTGTTGAAACATGGACATTTTTTTAAGTAAAGTAGGTATAAATTCTCAAAAGAACGAATTTGGTTTTTCGGTTCTGTCAAATTGCATTTAGGCTCACATCTTTGAAATCTTGAATCTTTGAATCTTGTATTTTATTGAATGGACCTTGCTTAATGCTGCGTGAAGGTTAAACCGGGTTTGTAATTCCAAAAATATTTTTTTTTTTTAATTTGGGTTGCCTTTTCTGTTAAGTTGGATTTTGATACCGTCAAAGGACTTATGCTTTAATATCATAGAATTGGCCGTTTTCGAGATGTAGAGGTTTGAATTTTATTTGTTTTTTTAAATGTTGATAATATTTGGTTCGAATGTATTTCACGATTGTCCAGTTCCGATAATATTTTTTTCCGAAAGATCACAATTTTTTTAATGAAAATGTCCTTGCTGGCAAGAAATGTTACTTACAAATGGTCACGGGACATAACACCAAGTAATTTGACCTATTGTAGTATATCCCGTGTCCTTAGTTTAGTGCATGTCGTATTACTCCATCACTATTGAGAAATGATGAATCATTCGGTTTTGATACAGTTGCCTTTATCGCAAGGAATCGATTCTAATTGAAAGGTCCCGCTATTTATACCCTTCGGAGTGTTGGAACACCCTCCAAAAGCGCGCCAAATTTGATTCCTTAGCAACAAAAATAAGGAATGACACGATAATGACCATGCATCAGAACCCTAGTCTTAACCACTTTAAACTAGGGAACAACGAATAGAAAACTAGAAATCAAATAGGTGAAGACTAACTAACACTCATAGGACTTATCACTATCAACAAGGCATAAAAAAGTAACAAGGACTAAGATGTGTTCCTTCGTTTGAAGTAGTCAAGATTTGGAATCGGTGGTAGATCTTACATCCCGTAACGTACCACGAATAGGTGATCTACCCACGTTACGGGGTAGACGGTTGCATACAATTTATAGAATATCCCATGACATTTTTTTTTTCCTTTGGTTTGTTTTCCGTCGATCTGAGCACCAATGCTACCGACGCGCCAGAAAGGCAGCTCCCACACCTGGACCCTACCTATCGACCCATCAACTCATGAACCGGGGACCAACAGCTTTACTTCCCTTCCGAAGGAAGGCGTGATCAGAGATGCTATGCCTCAGAACATCCCGGCGGCGCCGACTGGGATTGAACCCAGGCCTGCTGGGGTCCCAGACAACCAGAAGCCGTATAACAATGTGCAGACACTGTCGTAAATTGCTACAGTTTAAGTCAAAATCGCATATAAGAATGGCATGCATCGCATTATGTTTAAGTTAAATCGTATATAATACAAATTTCCGACCTATATGCGATGATTCATTTTTCCGTCGTACTGTATCACAAATCAAATCGGATTACATCGTAAGACTTTTCAAAGTGAATTTGTTATTACAGATTAAATCGCATATGATGTTAAATCTACTCGTTTAAAATTAAATTAAAATTTGCACGTATATGGCCTCCACTTTTGTACGTATAAGCCATTTCTTTGCATTCTATACGATTTGTTGGTTTGTATATATGTTTGTATATCGTGAAAACAACTTTGAATATACGTGCATTCTGGTTGTCTGGGGTAAGAGGCAATCACGCTTACCACTACACCACCGGCGCCGTTAATATCCAATGACATGTCTCATAAATCTAAGCGATCTATAATGTAAACTTGTATGATTTATTACGCTCCATTTATGTCCATCATAGCAACATAAATGTACACTACTTTTTCAAACTGTGTATGGCTCGTGCAGAAACAAACATCTTTTCGCAACTTGTTGCATGTATAGTTATTAATATGTTTTTCTAGAAAGGCCATCATTTTCTATGGCAGATATCTTACGTCAAATTTTCACCGGAAATCGTAGGTATGACTTTTGATATCAAGGTAGCTTATATTACATGATATCAGCTATAGTCTGAACGTCGCATAAAGCCAGACGCCCACTGTTGTGGTGGAGGTGTGGTATCTGCTAGCACGTCAAAACATCATGTCGTCAATCGAAGTTGAGTGTCCTTCTGTTCTCCGTTGTGAATAGTAATTACAATCTGTTCGATTTTCGCCGAAACTATAATTATTTTCCATTTCTGGACCCATTGTTTTTGCCGTGGTCGTTAAGCGGCCTAATGTCCTCATCAACCGCAAAAACATATTTGTGCGTGGTTTGCTACTGAGTCGATAGGCTCGATCAGGTTTTTCATTGATAGATTGATTCGATGCAAATAGCTATACAAAAATCAAAAATGGTTTACAGGTCAAATGCATCTTTTGGTGTGATGTTTGATGTTTGATGAATTAAATTATTTATTAATCAATAAAAATCATTTTTTTTTTTATTTGTATAGTATAGTAGTCATTTCAGTAAAAATTATACTCAACACTATTGTAAACTTTGTCAAATTTATAGTCCCAGGTTAGTAAATTTTGACAGCTCACAAGGGAAGAAAATGACCGTAAAAAAATCTTAATGCAGTTGCCTCACCTCCACCACAACAGTGGGTGCCTGACCTTAGAGGACTGCTAAGCTGACAGTTCGCTATAGCCAACATATTTTGTAACTTAGTAGACATTGATAAAACAATCATCACCATCATCATCAAAAGAATTCGATCGTTTATTGGCAAATCAAAGTTGGCACTCGTGCAGAATAGAAGAACTATGAAAGTTATGATGGTTTCAAAATTTTCCACGGGAAGTTATACGAGGGCAATCTTAAAATGCTTTTATTTTGCAAATGGAGCATTTTATTTTAATCTAGTTGGTGCTACAGTGGTAGAAAAGCTAAAATCTATGTATGCACCTAAAATACTGAAAAGATTTTTTTTTTTCAATATTATGGGGCTTATTACGGATGTCACTTCACGGTGAAAACTTGTCACTTGTCGTGAAGTGATTCCCATTTGATTTGTACGGCAATCACGGCTCTTATTATGAGTATCACTTCCTTATCTCCGTGTAGTGACAGCCGTAATAAGGCCCTATATGTCTATTGAGTAGACCCTAAGTTTTCTACTAGCGCAGCATTACCCAGATTTAAATAAAATGCTATATTTGCAAAATAAAAGCATTTTAAGATTGTACTCGTATACCTTGTACTCGTACCATGTAAAATTTTGAAACCATCATCACTCTCATAAGTCTTCTATTCTCCACGAGTGCCAACTTTGATTTTCCAATTGTATGACATTTAGCTTTGCGAACTGGCTACATAATTTAGTGGTTTGTTCTGTCATGCAAGAGTGATTTTCGTTCAAGAACCCGCACCAAAAATGCTGTCCCGATTCCCAGAAAATCATGCCCGCCGAATGCAATGAATTGAAGCAATTAATCATAAAGTCGAGCAGTTTTTGGGCGTTTTTCTACCAGTGATTTTAAGAAAATGAGGAAATGATGAGACGTATAAAACTTCATTTTAAACTACTCGAATAATATGATCAATTGCAGAGACAGAATAAATAGGAGGGATGGCTCTAATGTTGGCCTATGGATCTAAGATTGGGCCCATCGCTAAAAATCTAATAATCAGCTATTTATCAATTTTATCTAGAGAAACGCGTCATTGGGACGGTACTAATGGATATTTTTGGTCGCTATTGAAAATTTAGTAAATTGCTAAATTTATGGATGGGCCCCAATTAGGGGCATTTAGGCCGACATTACATCCATTTCCCCTATCTGTAAATATCTCATAAAAAATCATCTGTTAACTGCGATGTGCTAAACATTAATGTGGTTCGAGTTTGCTCGAACGATTTCTCAAACGACTGTTTTTATGTTGTGAATGGTAAAAGAAGACTGTTCAACAATGCCACTCCAACTATTTTGGAAGTTGGCGAAAGGTTAACTTGTGCATCAATAGCAAACATAATTTATTGTCTAATCGTTTAATTTAATTAGATCATCTAGTTAAACAACGAAGAAATTAAAAGAGCTCCCTAGATCCTAGTCTCAGACATCATTTCAATGAGAAGTGACATTTTCATGCTCTGATTTTTTTTTTGCATAACAAAATAGCCGAATGCAACCAAACTTGGCTGATTACCCAAACCGAACCATTATGCAAAGCTTTAAATAATTCAGAGAAGGTCATGTCTGATCACTTTGGCGTAGACATTCTTCAATATAGATAGATGAAGTCTGCGAAAGGCTATTGATATTTTCTTATTTCACAAGCGAAAACGAAACACTAAGTATAGACAACAGATGTCCTGACCAGGATTGTTAATCGATAACGTCTGCGTTAACGTCTGCAATGCAAATTCACCAATGGATACATTACCGCTGACGTCATCTACAACCCTGATGCTGACCTTGACAAATTATCAAAATATTTTATCCCACGCTTATGTCAAGTTGAAACTCATTGAAACTCCAATGGACGTTATTAACGAACCATTATAATTACTTGTTAATCCTTCGTCCTAATCGTCGTAATCGTTACGTGTTTATTATTCCCCTTCAACGGAAAGCAAAAAATAAATCATTCATCCGTAACAATCGAACAAAAAGAAAGGGCAAAAATACGTCAGACAAACTCACTTTGTATTCCTCTCGCATATCACAGATGGTTTCATTCATGGCCGGCGAGTACAAGGGCGAAGCGAAGAATATCACCGGCAGGCTGATAAACACTCCAATCAGTGTCAGTGCAGTTATCACCATCTTGGCACGACGAACAGTACACATTGTCTGTCGCTTCAACGGATACAAAACGGCTATGAAGCGTTCCACCGTAAAAGCGACCACAAACCACACCGACAAAAAGCTACACAAATTGCTGAAGAACGTAAAAAACTGACAGTACACTTCGAGGGTGTAGATCTTAATATCCACTAGATTCAACCAGGGTACGAACAGACCCACTAGATAACATGTATCACTCAAACCGAGAGCAGCCAGATAGTACGAGGAGGACAACTTCTTCAGCTTAGTTTTGAAGAACACCAACACGGAGAGTATGTTTCCTATGCTTCCGAACAGCACCAGTGCGGGAATGTAGTAAAAATTTATGACACTCAACACTTCTGCATAATAAAAGAATGTTTGCTGGTCTATATCATAACTATAATCCCTCGTAGGTTGCTGCACATCCGGGAGGTACGTCGTATGGTATACCCACAAATCATCACGATTGCTCCGTGGCACTGCAGTTGAAGCCAGATAAGACGAATAGGTTGTCGTTCTCAGCAAAACACTACTCACATTGGATTCCCCGGAATCCTTTTCCAGCAACCCATTTAACACACTATCACTGATTGTCGTGTACCAACTATGGTTCACCTCAAACGATGAGACCATCTGAACTAAAACACTCCCCTCCCAAATCCCATTAACACTTGAATTGCTCGGCATATTTTGAAACACACATCCTTTTTTTATTCAATATAATGCCTATACGGATACAACACTTAGCTTATTCTTGTCATCTCGATGTGATGCACTGCATAAAACAAAAAACTCAAGAGCTCGTTAAAAAGAATCATCATTCACTTTAATTTAATAGGCCACGCATCTCCCATAACCAGACCACACGACGATTTCAAAACCTTCCTACGGGTGTAAAATTTAATTTCCTGTGTCGTTTGCACTACATCCGCTCCTCTATCCGAGGCATAACTCTTTTGTATTTAGAGACTCTGACAAAAGATACTATGCAACATTCCATAGGTCAACTATACAGTCCTTTGAGAGCAAGTTTCTGCTGTCACACTTATCCAGTAACACATTCCCGACCGGAGCGTTCTATTCGACGTGATGTTCCGTTCGAACGACTAGGTGCCTCTAGAGGCTGTGGTACCAAAACGATAACTGAACGCAATAAAGCCGGAATACCTTCTAAAAAGTACGCGCCAAGAGTGTGTCAAAAATGCGATTCGGACCGTATCCCACGAGAAACATTCATTCGTGAACCACCACTATCCTCGCCAAGACGAAGGATTTCCGGCATTCATTCAACGATGGGGACACTCAAGTTCACCCGAATAGACACCAACCAGCGTCCAAAAGCAAAACAAATGTGGCAATTAGATAGATTTTTTTCTGCATTAACTTTCGTGTTGAATGTTTAGCTTGAATTGGATTAGGGGAACCAAACCTAAAGGTGAAACATAAAAATAATAAAATTTCGGTGAGAATGAGAACAGAAAAATGTTAAGGATTACTACAATTGTTTAGGGTTCAATGCATGCACCTTTATGAGCTGTTATTGTAAAAAAATTCTGCTGCATAATCATACAAGTTTAGAGTAAATTCCTTTCGATTAGAATTTAAGTTAAATTGGGACTTTAATCTTAATTTTATATCTAGCTCTGTGATCTTCGAAGTTAGTTAGTACGAGGTACCGAAAAAAAATTCGAGATAAATGTTTTATAGTTTTCTTTTTTCATCGATCACTAGAATTTGGACGTTTGAAACACGGTAGGTATTTTAAAAATCTGTAAAAAATTAAATTATAATCTGATTTTTCATGATTCATTTCTAACTGAGATTCAAGGTTCAAGATTTAAAATCTTAATTTTGTTTTTATTCTTATCTCGAAAAATTTTTCTCTCGAAACATTATGTAAGCCTCAGAATCTAGGTAAGTTTCCCAAGATCTATAATTACGGACTTCAACGAAAGATGCAAAGTTAGTCCATGAACTCGAAACTTTTGGTTATTTTGTAATTTTTCTGTATGTTTAAGAAAAAAAATTGGTCGAATATTTTTCAGGCATATTTATAGTATAATCATTAAAATTCTTTTTTTTTTTAATATTCATGTACTAGAATGTTTTTAAATTACAGTCCAGACAGGATCTGCAATTTTATCTAAGTCAAAAAAAGATGATAATTAATCAAATTTGGCGAACATTTATTTTTATTTGAATTCGAAGAATCTATACTAACAATCTGTATCAGAGATATCTATTTTTTTAGTTACAAAATCTAGAAAACACATGGGTTTGGGATCTCAAAACTATTGTTAAGAATTGTTCAGTGCCGTCCAGCGCTCTTGTGAGAGCATCGCGACTAAGTAGCGTCATACGGCTGACCAGGGCCCCTTCTCCAATATTCATTGACGTTTTTTTTTTTTTTTTTGAAGAATAAACATTATGTTTTTAATTAAAAAATACTGAATTCGTTGCAAAAAAAATTTTTTTTGCTAGCTATATGACTGAAAAAATTCTCAGTTTTTATTGAACACCCGTTAAGACTAAGCGTTTTTTTTTACAATGCGTTTATTTTTCCAGGCTCAGTTGCTGTAGCTTTGCGGAGCCGATATTCATTGTTTAGATTACAAAATTACTTAAAACTAACGTTAGTAAAGCGGGGGCCGATTACTCGCGGCTATTTCGAGGTTAGGGGTAACAAATTGTAACAAATGGATGGCAGGGTAGGGATTGTTCACACAAGGTTAGTAGAGCAAAGTGCTTTTGATCTCGAACTAGGCAACACTCTGATGAAAAATACAAACGTGGAGGTAAACCGATGGGCAGCTAACAACTTGGGAGAACACAAGATGACACTAACTACTAAATCCTCAGATCTATCCGTTTTAAAAACACATAAATTAAATTCAAATAGTCAAGATCTCGGCTCGCCAAGACATCTCTAACGGGTATCGCGGGTTGTTTTCCTCGGGCCCTGAGGGATGTGGATAACTCAGATCTGGTAACACGGTGTAAGGTACATGACCAAACAACATGCTCGATATCGTGATAACCACTGCCACACGCACATAAATTGCTGCCTGAGATCCCAATTCGATAGAAGTGCGAGTCTAACGAGCAGTGATTGGACATAAGCCTTGATAATTTAAAAAATTCACAAAACCCATCATGCGCAATTTTCATGTTTCTAAAAAATACAATAATTTCTCGAAAAATAAGTATGAATTGAACAATAAATAGCACGGTACGATTTAAGCTTCCACTTCTAACTCACTCTACACTTTTTTGTTTACCTCGATTTTTTAAACAAACAATTTACCAAGTTGATATTGAGACACAGAGAAAAATGTTCAAATTCAAGGATATTGGCAAATTTTGATAATCTTAGGCCAACAAATTTTAAAGATCTAGCATAATGATAGATCGATACGTTTAGCAACGGGAAGAACTGCAGTCTAGAATTAAATGTAGATCTAAGTTTTTTTTTTTCCTTTGTTTTGTTTTCCGTCGATCTTGTTTTCCGTGCTGAGCACCAATGCTACCGACGCCAGGAAGGTAGCTCCCACACCTGGACCCTACCTATCGACCCATCAACTCATGAACCGGGGACCAACGGCTTTACTTCCCTTCCGAAGGAAGGCGTGATCAGAGATGTTATGCCTCAAAACATCCCGGCGGCGCCGACTGGGATTGAACCCAGGCCTGCTTGGGTGAGAGGTAATCACGCTTACCACTACACCACCGGCACCGCTATAGATTTAAGTTAGCCATGAGTATTTTAATAAAAAAAATCGTTATCTTCTTTGTAGCCACTATAGCGGACTGGCGTCTCCATTCCTCCCTATTATAGAATCTTATGTAATCGAGAAACTTGGAAAAAAAAACATAACTCTGCAACCTTGATAACTTTTCTTTTCACGGACATAAAAAAAATAATACGTCTAAGACTTAAAATCTCGATCGTGAAAAATAAGGGATTTACGGATAAATTTTAGAATTTTTGACATTTTTTTATTACTGGGACTAAAAGATTGATATCTTAGACAAAAAACTTGAGAAAATTGTCTTCACAGTCTTTAAACAATTTAAATGCTTCTGAAGCATATAAAATATTTTATGATCATGGACATATATTTTTTTTTTCTCTAAAACCTGGACCTGCAAATATGTTTCCGTACCGAAAAAAATACAATTAAAAAAAAAAAAAGGAACTCAAGGTTCTGTGACATGATTTTTTACTCGGTGTTTGAAAAAAAACTAAAGGTACCGGGAGTTTTCAAAACCTATGACAATTTGTGATAGGTCTATTACAATTTCGAGATAAAAAATAAAAATATTAGTGATTAAATTGTCAACATGAATTAGACCGTTTGCAACTCTTCTTGTCATTCAGAATTCACACACTTATTCTTCTTCATCGCATTTCAAGCTTATTGCGTATGGCATATTAGCTTTTTGCGTGCTCTCAACTTAGTGTTCTAGATGCACTTCCACAGTTATTAATTGAGAGCTTTTGATGCCTGTACCATTTTGCATTAGTATAATTGTGTGGCAAGTACAATCATACTCTATGTCCAGGGAAGTCGAGAAATTTTCCAACCCGAAAAATTCCTAAACCGGACCGGGAATCGAACCCAGCCACCTCCAGTATAGTCTTGCTTTGTAGCTGTGCCTTTACCGACTGAGCTAAGGTAGGTCCCAGAATTCACACGCAGATTTTGAATTTATCTTTCTATAACAAATTTGTTACCAAATCAAGCTGTGATTTGATGTATGTTTTAAAAGTCAAATTCATTACTCTCACTCTACTCTGGTAGTAAATAAGTTGTTTACATCCAAGAGTATACTACCTTGTTTATGTATACCGTATCCTGCAGGTGGCGAAAATTAAAACCGGATTGCTTTTCCAAACTACTAAGGAAATTCGTGTTCCTGTACTATAATTCGCCACCATTTAATTAATCAAAACCCGTTTAAAATATATGATTTTGATAATTCAAACCACTGAAAATATCTTTTGTTTATGTGCCAGAATGCTTTCATGAGTACTATTCACATTGTTAATTGATTTTTTTGTTTTTTTTTCAGAAAATATTGAAATAACCTATTTTTTCCACTTTTTCAAAAAAAAATGAGTACTATTGAGGAACTATTGTTTAAGAACGTGATTAATGAATTATAACCGTTGATATTAATAGCAAATAATTGAAAACATGTGCTTATTCATTGAATGCGTCTTCAAGTTGAACTACATTAGATGTATAATTGTTCACTATTCTAAAACCGCAGATTGTTCTAAGAACGTGGCAAAAATTAACGCAGTGGCGAAATATAATGCTTCTACCCTATTTATATTGCTAATACTTATTAGGAATTGTTGCTCAAAAATATTAAAAAAAATACCATGTATATTTCTCCAAAAAAAAATTATTCCTATCTTCAATTTTTTCTCAGCCATCATCATTTCGATCAGAAGTGACGTTTACGTGCTACAATATATTGGAAAATTTCAACGATGGCATTTAGAAGAAAAAAAATGCAAGCTTCCAAATGGTCGAATTTTATGCAAAAATGTGAATGATTTCCCATAACAAACAATAATGCAAAGTTTCATGCAAATCGGAGAAGGTCAAGTCAAAAATTCATTTTTCTTTTCGCTATTTGGCCTGGAACTGCTTAGCATCGAATTAGGCTGACAAAATCCGTTGCTCAGGATGACAACTTTGAGCGGATCATCCAAAGCGCAAGCTCGCTGATCTCATATACGCCTGTATGTATGAGTTGCTTAGCTGCAAATACATATTATACATTCACCATACTAACATTAAGCTGCCGTTCATGGCAAGTCCGTCCCATAGCAGACTAGAGATCAAATTGAAATCAAAATTTGCTCTTATGATGTAACATATCTTGAATACTCCAGTTGATCTCATTTTGGTAGACACAGCAAAAATGAGAGCAAAATTTTACACTGTTGAATCAAGCTTCATTACATTCACTCGAACCATAACAGCAATTTATAAAATAACGAACATTTTGAATGGCTCGAGTGACACTTGCTTTTGATAAAAAACACGTCTACTGAGGATTCATAT